TCTACACAAAACCTCCAGCTATTGTCTTTTTTACGTACCAGAAGAACCGGCTCGAAAAGGGACTCACACTCGGTTGGATGATTCCTGCCGTGAGCATGTCTCGCACTAGCCTCTCGATCTCCTCCTTCTGCACCTGTGGATAACGGAATGGCCGGACATTAACGGGCTCCGCACCAGACTTGAGCACGATGGCATGATCCCTAGACCGAGTTGGGGGCAAGCCATCTTCCCAAGCAAACACCTGTGAAAATTGATCCAAAACAAGTTGAACTGCCGCTGGAATAAACGCTTCCGTCTCCGACGTGGTCGCTGCAAGTTGACTCAGCTCAACCATGTATCCCTCCCCCTCGTCTTTGATAGTTGAGATCATGGTTTTCAAGGACACCCGTGAAGTACACAAGGTCGGATCCTCCTTCAGAGTCACGCCCGCTCCACCAACTCGGAAACGCATGGTTAACGCCTTCCAATCAACATGCATACCCCCCAACGTAGCTAACCATTTCATCCCAAGGATAACATCTGCGCTCCCTAATTCCAAAGGCAAGAAGTCTTCCACGATCTCGACACAAGGTAACGTCAAGACCACTCTCTTACACACACCAGCACCCTTGACAGTGATCCCAGTGCCCATCAGCACCCCGTACCCTGCGGTCTCTGAGCACGGCAGCCCGAGTTTCTCTACTACCGCCGTGGAAATGAAGTTGTGGGAAGCGCCACAGTCAATCAACACCACGACCTCCTGCTGGGCAATGGACCCCTTTACCTTCATCGTACGCGGGTCGACAAGACCCATCACGGAATTGATGGACAATTCCACAACCTCCGCGACAGCCTGCTCGGAAAATCCCTCCGCGTCGTCCTCCTGAAGTGGTGGCTCACAGCATCGAAGTCATCGTCCACCATCAAGACGTGTAATTCGTGATTCTTGCAACGGTGCCCAACAAAAAATTTCTCGTCACAACGGGAACACAGCCCTTTCGCGCAGCGCTGCAAGAGCTCGGCGTCAGACATCCAACGGATGGTTGGCGGTTTCGAAGAAGCGGAGTGATTTGCCGGCGGCGCTTGGGATTTTTGGAATGAAGGGAGTTGTGTCGGACTCTGAAAATTCGAAGGAATGGCAAACCTGACGTGTTTAGAATGATCTGCCCCTTCGCTCGCTCCACTGGACTGTTGGGCTTGAGGTGGGCCCCGAGGCCCAATTCCTGATGGGCCCAGGTGGTGGGCCATCAACATGTTATTGCGCTCCTCCACTAGCTGAGCCCGGGTCATCAATCGGTCGAGGGACTCCGGATGATACATGCGTACTTCCGCCCGAATCTCTGGCCGTAATTCGTTGATGAACGTGCTCTCTAGCATGTGAGTCGGGACGTCGACCACCTGGGCCGCCAATGCCTCGAAGAGTCGGCGATAGTCTCACACGGTTCCTTTCTGTTGAATAGCCAGGAATTTGTCAAGAGCTGTCCCTTCTTGGGAAGATCGGAATCGATCGAGGAGTTTGCGTTTGAGCTCCAACCAAGAACGAACAGGGTTCCTGCCATCCTCCCATTGGAACCAAGCCAGTGCGTCCCCTTTGAAGCAGATTGCAGCAGCACTCAACTTGTCCTCCTCTGTCAAACGATTCACCGAGAAGTAACGTTCCACCCGGAAAAGCCAACCCTCGGGATTGTCACCCTCAAACAACGGCATCTCCAGCCGGCGCAATCCCAGATCGCCGCGAATCAGAGACTCCCGGAACTCGTCCGCCTTCCCCGGCTCAAGATCTGGTTTATCCGAGGACATCACCGTCTTCCCGTTGTCACCTGAAGCACCTCCTGGTCGGGACACCCCACTGGACTCCTCCAAGGACGACGGATTCCCAGCGACTCGCGGGGACTCCAAACGCTGGAGAGCCTTATCCACCCGGTCGAGGATGGAAAGCTTATCCATAACCATGGCAAGATGTTGCTCCATTGGGCCCAGACGCTGTATATCGGAACAAAGGGATCCAACCTGTTCCTTCATTGCGGTAACGCGGGGGTTCCAATTGCTTAGCCATGAAAAAAGAGGATCAAGTGCTCTGATACCAAATTGATAGAGCCCAAGTACAGTAAGGAAGAAAATCTGGAATAAAGTTTTTATTGATACGGAAGAAAGGAAATACAAGATAGTACTGGTCTTTCGAGAGGACTAGCTCTCTCCCAAATCTACTCAGAAAATGCCAAGATGCTTTTCCCCCACATGCCCCACCCACTAAATAGCTAACAACTTGTCTAACTATTTTCTTTTTCCCATGCACAATTAACTAATACAATTAATCCCGCAGCACACACCGCTCTCCCACCTCTTTATGACCTCAGCACAAGGCCACCTCAGCTAAGACACGTGCTTAGCACGTCTGGCATAAGTGAAACGAATCGGTGGCTTATCAGAATAATATTTGGAACTCGTCGAAGGGAGCTCCTAAACTTAGACTCGTGTCTTAAACATCTATAATTAGAACAAAATTCTTCTCTTTTATTACTCCAAATTCGTCCCTGTTAAAATAGAGGTTACATAGGAAATTACTCTTACAGAAAATAGGAAACTAGAAAGTAGGAAATAGGAAACTAGAAAATAGGAAATAGGCAACTAGAAAATAGGAAATTACTCCTATAGAAAATAGGAAATTACTCCTATAGAAAATAGGAACTAGAATACTTGTTAAAAATAGACTCTTCTAATTAGGATACTACTAAAAATAAGATTATTCTTCGGCTTCTTTCCCATTCTTAGCGTTTCTGACTTCCTTGACTTGTGTACCACGTCTCCCATATGCCTTGCCCACAAAGGCATCCGTAACATTCATTTTGGGTGTAAACGAGCTCCATTGAAATCTTTATTTATTTTTCCTTATTTTTGTAAACGACGTGAATGAAATAAACTCTTTTTATTCTGTTTATGAGATTACATTGCATCAGATTTCACGTTCTTATGAATGATAAGAGTACGTGCTTTTACTTTACAATTCAACTTTTTGCTGCATCAATTCATCAAATAGGTCCCAGGATTATTTTCATCTTTTGTATAATCTGGTTTTTGATTCTACCACATTTTTGAAAGGTTCTTGAAAATAGAACGCAATCAAGGAAATGCCCTCCCTCTCTGAATTTGCACAAATGTGTACTAAGCTCTTGAGCATTCCAGATATCCGGATATTGCACACTCTCATTATATCAGCTTAACTGCTGATTTTTAACTCTAATAGTATAGTCCACTGAAGATCTGGTTGATTTAAAGCCTCTGTGTCAAGATAAACGGATTCGTACACAAGTATTGAAAAGACATGTGGGTGTATGGAGGTATTTGACATTCTCCAATGCAAATACTAATGCAAATTTTATATTTAACATTATAGTGTGATATGATATGTTATTTTTATTTTTGCTCTAATGTATAATGCTATTTGAAATGTTAAATATACTTTTTTTCATGTTCATGAAGTTTTGAAAGTTGTAAAAGTAAGCTTTTATTTTTAAAATACTTAGAAAATGCAAAAATTGCAATGATTACATGAGAAAGTAAATATTTCAACCAATAGCAATTAAATGTTAAATTTTCTATATGCTATACTTGATGGAAAATTTGTCACAAATTAGAGTACATGAAAAATTTGGCACAACAAAGAGCATTACATTGGAGTGTTTTTTGTATTCAAATACTAAATTTGTAATTAACACATCAATTATAGCATTATATTAGAGATGCTTTAAAATGTTGCGTTATCATTCTAAAATGAATAATATTAGCGTGTTAATTCTTTTTATCATCTTCTTAACGGTAAGTGCCGAGATAACGGGTAAGTTGTCACTTTTCAATTGGTGAGGTAAAATTAAAAATGGGACCCACTCTTATCTCACATAGGTGAATCGGGATACATCAGGAACCGTTGGTCGTCTTTATTAAAAACTGAAGACCTTCAATGCTTTGATCCTGCAAAATATGAGTGATTGCCGATGATAACTGACGTTGCTTGTATACTATTTGAAAGGATTTATTACTCAATTGGTCCTTAGATGTGCAAAATGTCTCATTGTTGTCCCTAAACTTAGAGAGGTTTAGGGCCCAAAATGTCTCATTGTTGTCCCTAAACTTAGAGAGGTTTAGGGCCCAAAATGTCTCATTGTTGTCCCTAAACTTAGAGAGGTTTAGGGCCCAAAATGTCTCATTGTTGTCCCTAAACTTAGAGAGGTTTAGGGCCCAAAATGTCTCATTGTTAGGTCCTGAAGTCAACTGGGGGACAATTAGGTCTCGTTCATTTCACCGATTTGAGTTTTCAATTTTAAGTTTTTACAGTAAAAAGCTTTCAGAAAATGTCACATCTCAGCTCGAATTAAAAAACTTGAATCTGCGAAATAAACGAGGCCTTAATAGTTTCACGTGCTTTGTTGTTTTGTTTTGTTTTGTTTTTTTTTTTTGGACATTAGCACCAACAACGTTCTTTTTAAAAACTTCCGGAACTACTCGATTTTAAAGTTAATGGACAAAATGAGACTTCTAAAACAGTTCAAGAAGAAAAATAGGTTAACAAAGAATTTTGGCAATTTTTTATTTTATTATTTTTTCCTGTCTCTATTGTTAGTTCAACCGACGCTTTTATATGCAAGTCCTCTGTACCAAAAATTTTAGGAATGAATATTGTTGGTACAAACTGTATCGATATAACCATGTCTTTGATTAGATGTTCTTAGTGAAAGATGGCAAAGGCTACCCAAAAGCTAGAATCAGGAGAGAAGAATCAGGAAGTGTCAAAATGAGCTTAATTTGTAACAATATACTTGTGTAGAAAAAAGAAAAAGACTCGTTACTGTGTAAACTGTTATTAAGCAGTAAGCACCAAGATCCAACGACATCTTCTTCTTCTTCTTCTTCTTCCTTATGTATTTTTCTTTTAGTTAATAGTTCAGAAATTAAATTCTACAAAGTTGTATAGGTGACATTTAGCAAGTAATGCTATTAAAATTCGATGGTGAATTGTAAAGAAAATGTCTGAGAGAACTGCACTTCACTTGTCTTCTTTACTGAGGAGTTCTTGCCTTTCCCCGTTGGATATTTTTCAAGCCAGGCAAACCCACGCTCAAGTTCTCGTCCATGGCTTACTTTCTCATGTCACCCTTCAAACCGATCTCTTGTTGGCCTACTCAAAGTGCAGGTTTCTTCAAGACGCTCGCCAAGTGTTTGATAAAATGCGTGACATAAACATGCACTCGTGGAACATTTTGATTTTTTCCCACGTGCAGAATTCCATGTATTCTGCTGCTTTGGAACTTTTTGATGCGTTTAGGAAGACGGGTCTTCGACCTGATCATTATACTTTGCCTCCATTGTTTAAGGCGTGTGCGGGAACTGGAGATGGCTTTCTGGGAAGAGTGCTTTATGGTTGGGTGATTAAGCTTGGACTAGAGGGATGTGTAGTTGTGAACAGTTCATTCTTGGATTTCTGTGTTAAATTCGGAAGTATGATTGATGCGAAAAGGGTATTTTCTGATATGTCGTGTAGAGATACTGTGGCATGGAATTCGATGATTTCGGGGCTTGGAAGAGCTGGTTTCTACAAAGACGCGTTGAATTGTTTCAGAGAAATGCTTGAATCAAGTGTGAAGATGGATTCTATGACGATTCCTAGTGTTTTAAATGCGTGTGGTGGAGAAGGAGACTTGATTAAAGGGAAAGAAGTTCATGGCCAAGTAAGTAAGAATCTCTTGTATGGCAAGGATGTTGCTATTGGGAATTCATTGATTGATATGTATGCAAAATGTGGATGCTTGTATTATGCAGAAAAAGTTTTCAGGAGCATAACCAACTTGAACATATTAACTTGGACCACAATGATATCTTGTTATGGACTTCATGGCAAGGGAAAGGACTCCTTGCTCATATATAAGAAAATGGTAGATTGCGGATTCAAACCTAACTGTGTTACACTAACTGCTATTTTAGCCAGTTGCAGCCACTCAGGTCTCATAGATGAAGGTTGGAGGATTTTTAATTCCATCAGTTCAGTTTATAGTTTCGAACCAAGTGTAGAGCACTATGCGTGTATGGTGGACCTTCTCGGTCGTTTTGGGTACCTTGAGGAAGCACTAGGGTTGGTAAAGAATATGAAGGTGATGGCACCAGCAAGTGTCTGGGGTGCCCTACTTGCTGGATGTATGATGCACAAAAATGTGGTGATAGGAGAAATTGCAGCAGATCAACTTTTCAGATTGGAATGTAGAAACTCGAGCAACTACATAGCCTTGTGTAGTATTTACGATTCTCTCGGTATGCATAATGGTGTTTCTTTTATTAGAGCCAAAATGAAAGATCTTGGTTTGGTTAAAACTCCTGGTTGTAGCTGGATAATCATTTCGGGGACACTTCACAAGTTTTACCAAGGAGATCATTCTCATCCTCTCAGTGTGCTGATATATGAAACATTAGATGGAATAATTAAGGTAGCATCATTAGGCAGAGGTTGCTGGGAGGGAGACTAGTCAGCTTTCAATCCTTTCACATTTTGCAATCTAAAAAAGGCTCTTCATATACAATAGGGCCTTCCTTTTTTTATTTTTTATTTTTTATTTTTTATTTTTATGGATCGTCAAAGTATATATTAGGTCCCTTTTTAATGTTGCTGCTATGATATAAGACTTTACTCTTAGAAAACTTCTGTTGATCAACAGGGAAAAGAGGAATAAGTTTGCGTTTCCTTGTTAAATAATGATGATTGTTAATTTTGCAGTCATAACTTAAGTCAAACCTTTCGTCAAGGTGCTAATCATGCAGATTTGTCACATTTCTTGTTCCTCAAGGTCACATATCATTATCTTTCACTAGTTGTAAATGAGTGAAAATTTGCAGCCGAATTCATGTTATTCCTTTTGACATACAAACAAGTCATGCTTTAACTGCACTTTTCATTCTTACAAATGTCAGGACATGATAAATTTTACATCTTTGCTGCTTCAATTGGTCGTTTTCCCTGCTGATAGTACTGCAAATAGATGTTGGGATAATTTTTGATAATTTTGTATAATCTTGGTCTTGACTCGTTAACCAGCTTTTCAAAAGGTTCAATATCTTTATCTATTTCTGGAATATAGAACACAGCCAAAGAAATCCTCCCTCTCTCCGAGTTCGTCACTACTCTATGTACTAAGCTCTTGAATATCCCATTACTCGATATCTGCATGTCATAGAGAACCATTTTTATGAATGTCTTTGTTATAATTTTCTCAATCATGTATACATGTGTATGATAACTATTGACTTATATATTTTATTTGAGACCATTACCTCTGCTTGATCACCAATGTTGATGAAAAGAGCCTCAGGAATTATGGGAGCTCTAAACCACTGATTGTCTTTCAAAAATTGAAGACCTTCTGTGTTTTTATCCTGCAAGATGAGGGTGATTGCGGAACCATCAGCATGTGGTTTATGACCAAGAACCAGATCGGGCCTCGGACATGGTGGGTAGAGGTTGAACTTTGCCTTCACTTTTGCACTTTCTCCATATTGGTCCAAGAAGCAGTTCTCTTCCAACTTCAATGAGCTTGCCATGGCCTTAAAGACAACTTTAGTTATCAGTTGTAAGTTGGTGGAATATTCATGCAAAATAGACCTGCAACATGTCAATTACTACTTTATTACGTATCCATAATTGGTTTCCCAGTTTAATGAGAAGAGAAGAGCTAGAAGAGGTTCATACTAGGGTCCGTTTAATTCGCTGATTCGAGTTTTTAATTTGAATTTATGTGAGAGCTTTTACTCTGACAAAAATTAGATGTGACTGTTTCTGAGAACTTTTTATTGTAACAAAACTCGAACTCTAAACTCAAATCGGTGAAATGAATGGGCCTAAAACTACTCTCGAGTATTGAAAAATGGGCATGATTGAATCCTTCATCTATCTAAATCTATAATTAATCTAGATTCAAGAACCGGAAGGGTTTAGGAATAGTTACATTTAAGTTTAGAATTTATGGTTTGAAGTAATTAATAGTTCCCTTCTTGTTGAGAGTTCAAGTGGATTGATAACAAGAACAATGGTAGTCTCTTTTGTGGTTGCAAGTATAGTCTAACGGTAATTCCATACCCAACTCCATCAAGGAGTGCAGAGTTCAAAAGCCCTCATCCCCGAGTAGGGGGAAAAAAAAAAACATACGTCTGGAAGTCTTTTAGAAGTTAAAACAAGTTCTTATGAGCTACATGATGAGAAAGAAGGCTCGGATACAAGGATTAAAATAGATTATACGAGGAAAACATTACTTATTTGTGTAGCTTGTTTAACATTACTTCTAAGTTTTGACCATTTGAATATAATCATATGCAAGGATAAAAATAGGTACAAGGAAAACATTACTTATTTGTGTAGCTTGTTTAACATTACTTCTACGTGTTGACCATGTGAATATAATCATGTTTGAATCCTTCATTTCATGTTCTTAGTAAAAATATACAAATTTACCTGAAAACTTCAGGCTTTTCAGGCCACAATTTAAGCTTACGTTGATCTTCTGGTTGTATAACCAGGTATAGGCTCTCACTCCAATCAAGCTTTTGTTCATCTGAAAGAACAATCTCGTTTCCATAACCTTGAATTTCATTGGCTTCTTTAGAGTATTTCTTCTTCTGTTCCAATGGAAGCTCAAAAAATTGTTTGGTAACATCACGTACCTTATCCAGGAATTCAGGTGTCATGCCATGGTTTATTGCCTAAAACACCAAAACCAATTCTTTAAACATGGTTATTGAAAAAAAAAAAGAAAAAAAGAAAAACTTTAGAACATGGTTGGCAACAAGGGAAAATTTTGAAGAACGGTCATAATAACATCAGCTTAGTTTCTTAAACAGAACAAGTTCTTATAAATTCCCTTTCATTTGATTAAAATTTCTATACTCAAAATTTACTTATCTGTAATTAAAGTTGTTAATATCTTCTTGTATTTCATAGAAAATTGATAATCAATTACTTTGAATTTGTCATCAAAAGGAAAGGTACCAAAAAGTTGAATTTTTGAATTAGTTTTGGATCAAAATTATAGGAGTTTATCAGCTAGAGAACACTGCTTTTAAAGATCTTTCACGCACACCCTTTATTACAGAAAACATAAATATGAACTAGAATATAAAAGAGAAATTTTACAATCAAAATTGTATGCTTCAAGAGGTTAGTACTAGTGATTGTTTGATGTGGAAAGTCCATAGATAAGAGACCTGAAAGCAACCCCATGAACTGAGAGCTGATCTAAGCTTTACAAGTTCATGTGCAGAAGAAGTTGGTGAAGTTCTAAGAAGATCAAGATCAATAACAGGAATGTCCATGGCAGGAAATTTAGCATCAAGAGGCTCGCCATCTCTATCTTTTTGGATATACTTTTCTGGCACTTCACCTTTTTGTAACTCCATCCCTCTTTGGAACTTTTGGGTAATATTGTGGTTATTCACTATGTATTCTAAGGATAATTAATATCAGCTAAACTTGGTGTCCGAGAATATACAAATTATAGAAGAAGATTTGAAATTTGGGCAATTTTTAAAAACACCTCTTGAAATGGAGCATCCTTTTTGACTGGTTGTGTCCGACTCTTTTGAATAACGCTACTCATTTATGCAAGGATTGTTATTATTTTTTTAAAAGCTAACTTTGATGTGGTATTATTATTATTATTATTATTTTCAAACAAGTGGTTGAGGATATGACATGGGTCTATTAAGCATGGAAATTTTATCCATAGGAGTTGTGTTTTTCTTCAGAAAGGTTTTCCAAGTCAATATGAGAAATAATAAAGTCCATTTGATTCTCCAATATCAAAAGCAGTGTCTTTTGACACAGTTTTTCCACAAAGAAACGCACCAGTCTCTAAACTAGTATTAAGTCATCGATGACCACATCACATAGTTATTCTTACTTTTCTTTTGTTTGTTTCTGGGAAATTTGGATGGAAGATCAATTATTGACAAAAACTGCTAAAACTTGTTAGTATTTGAAACCAATTCAAGTTTCATTCAGCGTATTTGGCAAGTTGTCCCTCTGAAATTTTTAATTTTGATAATTTACTCTCTAAATTTAACAAAATATTATAGAGCACCCTCAAATCAATGGCTATTGTAAATTTGACAAAAATATTACGTAACAAAGCAAGTCATTTCATGTGTATGAGGACCGTTTATTCCTAATTTTTAACATTATCCATCTGCTGGGGGCATTCATTAAACCATCTAGTTACCTGTCCTTAATCTCACTTCCAAGCTGCCAACAAACTTTCTTATTGGTATGTTCTCATAAGCATTATTTATTCATAGGTTTTCACCTTCAATAAACTATATAACCCTTTGCCATGTATTTATGGGTTAATTTCATAAATGGGTTTACCTTCAATTCCATTTTAGTTTATAACTTTTCAAATGTCACACAATTAGTCTTTGAGATTTTATTTTATTTCAGTTTCAGTTCTTCTATTAACTAGGTGTTAAAATTTGATGGAATATGTATAAATTAAGACCAAAATTGTAAACAATTAAGATTTTGAGACTATTTGTAAAAATTTACTTTTGTTTTTTGAATTATTTTTGTCCCTAAATTTTATTTGTTTCTATTGTTAGTCCCTAATTTTACAAATTCCATCAAATATTTAACACCAAACTAACAAAAAGACTGAAACTGAAACAAAATAAAACCTCAATGACCAACTATGAGACGTTTTAAAAGCCAGAGATTAAAGTAAGATTGATGGTAAACCTCATGGACTATTTGTGAGATTAACCCTATATTTATTTTTCGCTGAAATTTTACTCCTCCTACCCTTGCTAAAAAAGCCAAACCAAAATGGGTAATTTTGACAAATACCCTTTAAAAGTGCATGGGTCAAGATTTTTATTCTCCACTCTTGATTCAAAACTTTTTTAGTTAAATAATTACACTAATAAAAGGGTATTTATCAAAAATAGAAGATAAAAATCTAGTCTCATACACTCTCAAGAAAAATTCTCTATTTTTCCAACCAAAATACTACCACAGATCCAAAGTCAAAGTTCAACATCAAGGAATGTCACACTTCAAACGTTCACCATGTTCCCTTCCTTTTACATGAAATAACAGATATAAATACCTCATTTAATTCGTTGATTTGAGTTTTTAATTTGAGTTAAGATGTGATTTTATATGAGAGCTTTTGATTATCAGAAAAAGTTAGATGTGACTTTTTATGAGAATTTTTAATTGTAATAAAATTGAAATTAAAAACTCAAATCGGTAAAATGAACGAGATCAAAATGTACCAATAACATGCAGTGTTGTAAAATAAAGTAGAGAAGACAAATAACTAGCCTCTGGCCATAGTTGACCAAGACTGAAAAGAAATCTCAACACCTCAGATCTTCTAAGCCTATTCAACCTTCAGAGTGCCTTATAGATGGAACTACACGAGCAGTATTTTTCTTAGATATGGCTAGGCTAGGGATCCTTGGTCTATTTATAGAACAAATTCACCTCCTTCCATCAAGAGGTGAATACAAAAAGTCTTGTAACTCTGTCATATTAATTGCCATATTGAAATAATTAAAACCCACCATCAATTCATAATTACAAAGAAACGTTAAAAACGTTTAGGAATTCCAACATTCTCCCAATTGGTGTATGTGAAGTAAGAGAATTAACTTTATAGTGATCACTGTATATGGTCAAACAAAAAACTTCTCGAAACAAAGACAGTGTCGCTTCATTTACTCAAAAATAAAATTAACAAAGCATGAATTATGGCGGTTATATTCTTATAAATGAATACCCCCTTCTATCTATTACACACGATGATGTTTTATAATGAGTACTAATTACTTTATGATTGAACTGCCTATAAGTTATTCAGGGTCCTACTTAAAACAATCCCCATGGATCAAGTATAGAAAATTTTATGTGAACAATACTGAAATATTTCACTGAAATTGTTAAATGAAAACTTACATAGTAAGGGAATACATAGAAAAAACAATATACTTAGTAGTTGAAGCTCCGTTTGGTAGGAGGGATGGTATGAGGGATGGAGAATAGGAAAGATGAAGTATTTAAGGATAATATTTAAGTGTTATATATATATATATATATATATATAATAAACGATGTTTGTAATGAATTTAATTAAAGTTTGGAATCTTTAATTAAAACATTACTAATACATGTTATTTCTATTTAGAATAGAATAGTATTACCCGCACTGTTAATATAGCGTGATATTGAATGAGTGTATTACACATAATAAAATTATGTAGAATAGGGGTATAGACACAATATGAATTTCTGATAATTTCCGTTAAGTATAAAAATTCTAATTGAGTCTACTGATGATCATATATAAAATGATCTTAATCTTGAGTTTAAGTTTTACTATTTTTCAAAAACTTAGTGTTCCACATTTTACTCGTATGAGAGTAATTTTTTTCTCATGTGTTTCTATTTTATTTTTAATTGGTTAAACTAATTTTCTTTAAATGTATCTCTGCTTATATATATATATTTGTCAATTGTTATCTATAATATTCAAAAATCTTAAAATGATTGTATAAATGAATTTCTTATTATTCAGTAAACAATAAACTTTTTAGGTGTTTCTAATACGGTAATACGTGCGGAACGCGTTACAAACTAATATTGTATAAAAGCTCAAAACAAATATAGCTATATCATCCAGTCAATAATTGAAAACTGTATAAAAGGCTGAAAATTGACAGATTATACAGCAAGTCATTCCTTTTCCATGTAAGAATAAATTATGGCAGATTCTAAGACCTAATTAATTATGCAAACATACACTATAATAATTGTTACACCATGGTCGAGAGGTCGACCACTCTCTCGAACGACATACGCCGAGGATTCCCCGCAGAGGATCGGCCGCTGGCATCGAGGGAACGGCCGTAGCTAATGTGCCTTCTACGTAGAGGGACCATATGTGGTAAGAGGCACCGGGCGCAATGACTCAGCCTTCAGAGGCCGCGACGCCGAGGGGACACTGTCGGTCTTCTCTACCGGTGGTCTTGTCAACTCGAAGAGGGAAGTACTGATCCGACTGCTACTGCAGGAGTCAGGAAATCAGGCGGCAGATAGGAAGGATCAGCCGCGTTTTCCGGGGCAGTCATCATGAAAACCCACCTACCCTCACGCGGATAGAGGGTAGAAGATGGCTTTTTCCTTGGGAACGGAAAATACGTATTCACATGTAAATGCCTATAAATAGAGCCAAGAAAACTGAGAGAGGGGTTAGACACCATTTCATTACTAAGGAAAGAGAGCTTGTAACCGGCTGCAATATTAGTGCATGCACAAGTGGATTAGGCAAAGAATTATTGCCGAACCACTATAAAATTGTTGTCTCCTTTACATTATTTTTCAGTCTTAACCCTTAATCAAACCGTGAGTGTCAACGTGAGTGTTTTTGGAGAGGTAATCACGAGTTGCCAGAAATACACCGTCAACAATTGGCGCTAGAAGGAGGGCCAAAAGCCCAGAAATTCAATCCAGTTTTTAACCAACTATGCCTCCCAGGAACACTCGCTTACTGTCGGCTAACCCAATGAGTCAGGCGACCCAAAATCTCGCCGCCCCTGGGACCTTAACGAATCCGCTCCCACCGGCTGCCGGGAGCCCCCCAGACCGCATCGACCAGCTCCAAAAGCAGGTCGAAACGCTGGCTGCAGCCGTGGAAAGGATGGCTACAGCCCTTGCGGGGCGGGATCAAGGGCAGAACCCAATGCCACCGCTTGAGTATGCGCCGATGAACCCGGTGAACGCCGCTGTTGGGGGCCAAGGGATTGGTGAGCAACACGGTGATGCCGAGGAAGTCGGTGATAGTCGAGCCAACGATCCCCGTTCGACCAAGTCGAATAGGTCTGTGGGGAGCAGACAACGGGCAGCACGGAGGAGAGCGCGGGAGAAGGCCGCGGCGCCAGCTGTGAATAACAGGGATGCGCCCCCTTGACCGCAACAGGATGCGAATAGGAGGAACGCTGTCCTTATGGAGTCTTCGTCTGTGCACGGCGGAGACCTTAGGACGAGGCTCGACGCCCGACGCGGGAAAGCTGTGCAGCTGGCGAGAGAGGAAGAGCTCGCAGTTGATAATAAGGCTCTGGCCGAGAAGATGGCTAGGCTATAAAAGCAGATTAGAAGTCGATTAAACAACTTCGAGCAAGTTGTGGGGAAGGTAGCCGAGGCGGTTAATGTCGATGCCAAGATGTACACGTCACACGACCACCTGTTCATAGAAAGCATCATCCGGGTGCCGCTCCCAGACAAGTACAAATCGCCTCCCATTCTGTTATATGACGGAAGGAGTGATCTGGACGACCACTTGGAGGTGTACACTTGACATATGGTCCTGCATGGATACCCCGAGGAGGTCATGTGCCGAGCATTCAGGAATCACCTTTCCGATTCTGCGAGGAGGTGGTTCAGATCTCTGAAACCAAACTCCATCACTAGTTGGGATGAGTTGAAGAATGCCTTTTTGACTCAGTTCATAGGTGTCAAAAAATACATCCCACCCAAACAAAACCTCTCAAGAGTGTACCAGGGACCCAACGAGTCCCTGAAGGACTGGATAGCCCGGCTTGGGGAACAGGTCGCCGCCACTGAGGGAATCTCTGATGAGGTGGCCTTGATGGGGGCACTGTCGAGTATGAAGAAGGACATCCCCTACAGCACAGACCTCGACCAGAGGCCGCCCCATACCTACCAGGAATTCCTGACAAGGGCACATGGGTTCATCAACGCCGAGGAGGCTAAGAAGGCCTTGAAGAGCAAGGTGACAACCCCTGCCAAGGAAGAGGTAGGGCAAGCGAGCGGCCAAAACAACGGTAAGAAGCACCGAGGTCCCCCCCAGGTGCAAGCCGAGCAGAGGTATAACCCAGCTCTGAGTAACAGAGGCGGCAGTGCCTCGACGAGTCAGGGGGAGAACAAGCGGTCGAAGCCGCAACGGTACGATGCCTACACACCCTTAACTATGGGGATCGAAGACGTCTACCATGAGATAAGTCATCTCTAGGTCCTGCATCGACCGCCGCCGCTGAAGTCCAACCCAGCAAGGAGAAACCAAAACAAGTACTGTCAGTTTCATGGCGAGAGTGGGCACACTACGGCCGAATGCTATGACCTAAGGGATGAGGTCGAGAGGTTGATCCGAGAGGGAAGGCTTAGCGAGTATCGAGCTGACTGTCAGAACAACAACAACAGATGCAACAATGACCGACGAGAAGAGCAGAGGCATGACAACCCGCCCGAACCAGTCGGCGTTATAAGAATGATCTTTTGGGGACCATACCTCGGCGGCACCTCTCGACGCGCATAGAAGGAGTATGCTCAAGAGGCAAAAGAGAAGTTCAGCCAGAGGATTATGAACATCTTTGGACGCGAGGCTAAGGCAGCGTGATACGAGGACGCCGAGATCACTTTCTCAGAGGCCGACGTGAGGGGGGTACATTTCCCCTAGAGTGATGCCTTGGTCGTCGAGGCTATGATCGGTAACCACTCGGTTTGCCGCATCCTAGTCGACAATGGCAGTTTCGTGGACATCTTGTACTCGGACTGCCTAGACAAGATGGGGATCCCCCGCGCAAGGCTGCAAAACAGTGCGCAGCCCCTGTACGGTTTCACAGGGGACAACGTCATCCCGGAAGGGGCGATTGAGCTGCCTATTACCATTGGAGACCGACCGTGCACCTCGACTGTCATGTCAAAGTTCCTGGTGGTGAAGGGAGGTGACCAATACAACACGGTTATAGGACGCCCGACGCTGAGGGCCTTGAGGGCAGCGACATCCATCTACCACCAGATGATGAAGTTTCCAACCCCCAATGGGATCGGCAAGGCCCGAGGAAACCAGTATGAGTCATGGCTTACGTACTCAGAAATGGTCCACCACTACGCCGAGCTGACACAGGTACGAAGGGAACTGAGAATGGTCGAGACCAGGGAGGAAGAATACGATTTGGATCCAAGGTTCCCAGGAGAAGAGACCAGAGCGGGACCGGTCGAGGAATTGATCGAGATCCCTATTGATGAAAGAGAGCTGATGAGAATGCTAAGGGTGGGCTTTGAACTGGGGACACAGGCCCGCGAAAGACTGTTTGAGTTTCTCAGAGCAAGCCTCGACGTGTTCGCTGGACCCACGAAGCCATGGAAGGGATAAGCCCTGAAATCATGTGTCACAGGCTGAACATCGATGAGAAATGCCCGCCTAAGAGGCAGAAGTGTCGAACCATGAATGTCGAGCAGTACGAGGCCCTGCGTGAAGAGGTTGACAAGATGATCAGAAGCAACTTCATCCGAGAAGTCTTGTACCCCAGGTGGGTTTCGAATCCCGTACTGGTAAGGAAGCCAAACGGAGAGTGGTGAACATGCGTCGACTTCAGTGACCTGAACAAAGCATGTCCCAAGGATAGCTTCCTACTGCCCCGAATCGATCAGCTGGTTGACGCTACGGTGGGACACAAACTACTGAGCTTCATGGACACATACTCTGGGTACAACCAGATACCAATGCTCGACCGCGACGAAGAACACATGGCGTTTGTCACCAACAGAGGTCTCTACTGTTACAAAGTGATGCCCTTCGGTCTCAAAAACGCTGGGGCAACTTATCAACGCCTCGTCAACAAGATGTTCATGGGGCAAATAGGAAAGTCAATGGAGGTTTACGTCGATGACATGCTGGTGAAGACTAGGAAGACCGAGGACCATGTGGAGGACCTTAGGAGAATGTTCGGTGTCCTCAGAACGTACAAAATGAAGCTAAACCCCCGCAAGTGTGCCTTCGGCGTCGCTTTAGGGAAATTCTTGGGTTTCATGGTGAGCAGTCGAGGAATTGAGGCCAATCCGGAGAAGATTCAGGCCCTCATCGACATGGGATCGCCAAGGAAGCCCAAGGAGGTCCAGAAGCTGACACGCTGTGTGGATGCACTTAACAGGTTTATCTCTAAATCTACAGACAAGTGCGTACCATTCTTTGACACCCTGAGGGGAAGCAAGCCATTCCTATGGATGGAAGAGTGCAAACAGGCATTCCAATGACTGAAGGAACACCTTGGGAAACCCCCTCTGCTGTCTAAACTTGTGACCGGAGAGGTGCTGAGCCTTTACCTGGCGGTCTCGGAACACGCCGTTAGTTCGGTAGTGATCTGCGAGGAGAAGAAGGTGCAGTTGCCGGTGTATTACACTAGCAAGCACCTCCTCGACGCGGAGGCGAGGTATCCCAGATGGAAAAGCTCGCCCTCGCACTAGTTGTGACAGGAAGGAAGTTGCGGCACTACTTCCAGGCCCATAGCATTCAGGTATTGACCAACCACCCACTCAGGCAAGTGCTACAGAAGCCCGACACCTCCGGTCGACTCTTGAAATGGTCCATAGAGCTCAGCCAGTTCGACATCGACTACAAGCCGCGGACTGCCATCAAGGGCCAAGCCCTGGCAGACTTTGTGGCAGAGTTCATGGGGCTACCAGACGAGGTCGACGAAGCTGACAAACCACCACGATGGAAGCTCTACGTCGATGGGAGTTCCAACGACAATTGCAATGGGGCAGGACTGGTATTACACACACCTGAGGGACACAAGATCACCTCGGCCATCAGGTTTGAATTCCCCGCATCCAATAATGAAGTTGAGTACGAGGCACTGCTGGCTGGACTCCGGTTGGTGGAGCACCTAAAAGCGGGGAACTTAGACATCTTCAGCGATTCACAGCTTATTGTGAATCAAGTGAAGGGCCAATACCAGACCCGGGATGAGAAAATGGCCGCGTATCTGAAGAAGGTCAGGGAAGCCCTGGGGAAGCTCACGGTCTATGATATACAGCAAGTACCAAGAGCAGAGAATAGCAACGCCGACGCCCTCACCAATTGGCGACGTCGAGAGATGCCGAGCTCTTAAACCTGGTTCCCATGGAGGTCTTGAAAGCCCTGACCACGGCAAAGAGGCCCGAGGTCGTGCCGGTGGATTATCAGCCAAGCTGGATGGATCCAATCATCAGGTACTTGGTCGACGGTGAACTCCCTGAGGACAGGCAGCAGGCAAAAAAGATGAAGTATCAAGTGGCGAGATACACAATGCATGACAACCTCCTCTATCGAAGGGGCTACTCGACGCCCCTGCTCTGGTGCCTCGGCGCAGAAGAGGCAAAGAGAGTGCTGTCTGAGGTGCATGACGGGATATGTGGGAACCACGCTGGGGGACAGTCCCTAGCCTACAAAATACTTCGTCAGGGGTATTACTGGCAAAGTCTCAAGAAAGACGCAGCCGAGTACGAAAAAAGGTGCAAGAACTGCCAGAGGTACGCCCCCATCTCTCGACTGCACTCAGAGGACCTAACATCTATAGTGTCTCCCTGGCCCTTCGCTAAATGGGGAATTGACCTTATCGGTCCCCTGCACAAAACCCCGGGGGGTTATAAGTTCGCTATTGTCGCGGTCGACTACTTCACAAAGTGGGTAGAAGCTGAGCCATTGACAACCATCTCAGAGGAAAAATGTACGAACTTCATATGGAACAACATAGTTTGCAGGTTTGGTGTGCCGCATTCTCTCGTATCCGACAACGGGAAACAGTTCAACAATGACAACACCAGCCAATTTTGCGAGCTACTAGGGATCCACAAGAATTTTTCCTCCGTCGTATACCCCCAGTCCAACGGGCAGGTCGAGGCGGTCAATAAGATAATCAAAGTCACACTCAAACGACGCCTCGATGCTTACAAAGGCAAATGGGCCGACGAGTTACCGAAAGTGCTGTGGGCCTACAGAACAATGAGTAGAACTACTACGGGGGAAACCCTATTCTCGATGGCATACGGGGTCGAGGCAGTCCTTCCAGTTGAGGTGTCCGTTCCGACCAACCGGGTAACCCGGTACGAGGAGGATAGGAACGCCGAGCTGATGGGCTTGGAGCTTGACCTCCTGGAAGAACGGCGCACAGATGCACAGATAAGGCTCGCCGCCTACCAGGCAAGAACTGCTAGGTATTATAACAAGAAGGTCAAGCAAAAGCGCTTCGGGGTCGGGGACCTAGTTTTGTGGGTGGTAACCCCCAACACCAAACCCAAGAACTCCGGAGCCTTGGGCCTAACGTGGGAAGGGCCCTACAGAATAAGAGAGGTTGTGGCCAATGGGTCGTATCGACTGGCAGAGCTCGACGGTCGAGGCATCAAGCACACTTGGAATGCGGACCAGTTGAAGGTCTACTACCAGTAATCACGGGAGACGTCGACCTAACAGAGCAAACTTATTGTTTTTTAATTAAGTTATGTTTCATTTCTCGTTTCTGGCAGGCCAAAAAGCCAACTTGTAAATTCTACATGAATAAAAGGCAACGGGCATTATACGCTTAATCAACAAATTCTACCTTATGACCGATTCTTGTTACGCGGGTACAACCATCTACTACTCCTGTCGATATGTCGACCAGATCAATTCGTCGATACGTCGACTAAAATCGTCGATACGTCAACGATGATGCGCCAAAAACAAGTCCAAGGCTTTGTTTTTGGTGAGGGGACAATAAGACCCCACGAACTTACAAGGGCGGTGGGGCTCTGGCTCAACCATACCCAAGCAACAAGCAGATTTTCTACACTTAACATTCTACCATCTATGTCGAAGCTTTGACAATGGTACGCCAAAGCCGAGTTCTAAAACTCAGCTTGGGCGAGGGGGTACTAAGGCCCGACATGAGGCCCCCTACAAAAAAAAATTGTCAACTCATAAGAGGTGGTCGAGCCTACACGGCAAAAAGAATCTACACATGCGCAATATCCACACAAACAGTGAGCAAAGGTAAGCATGAAAATATATAGAGAAAAGAAATAAAAAAAAACTTGTCTCGACCTTATGGTTGTTACAAATCATCAAATAAATATTGTATGGGCCTCACGGCCTGGTAAAAAAGAAGTGTTACAAAAACAACGAAGGCTCCGGGGAAAAGTCCCCTCACTGCTCGCCGTTTCCGCCCGCGGTCTGCTCGGCATCCCCCTGTGCTCGCTCGACCCCCTCGGTCC